GTGCCCCTCCGACAGACCCCCGAGCCGCCGCCGCCGCCGCCCCGCCGCCCCCGCGGCTCTTCGCCGCCGCCCGGCACGGAGGTAAGAGACGCCGCGCTGCCCCGCGCAGGGGGCCCGGGGGTGCAGCCCCCTCCGCATCCCGTCCCTGCCGCCTTCTCCAGCAGCCGAGCCCGACGGCTCCTTTGCCGGCGCATCCCGCTGCGGGAGGGAGCGGGCGAGCGGAAAGCGGGTCGGGGGATGCCTTCCCATCGCCCCGGGGCTGCCGCGGCCGGGGCTCTGCCCCGCTGAGGGCAGCACAGCCCAGCCCCGCTCCCCGGCTGGAGATGTGGGGGTATCCGAGGGTCACTGGGGCTTCGGCACCTTCGGCCGGGAGGTCAGCTGCGTCCAGCATTGATCGACAGCCCCTCAGAACAAGCCTTCCAACTTCCCTATACTGCAGCGAAGCACTGGGGGAACCGCATTTCTCCCCAGTCTTAGGAATGCTGCTATGGTCTGCACAGAGATGATAATGATCAATCTGAGCGACATCTCTCTGGATGTACTGCTTTAAACTTCTTCTTCAACTTTGCTGGCTCCCATGTGATGCACTTGTCTAGGTTTGCAGGGCAGATGCAGAAGATCCAGACCGAGCTGGGCATGGGGCTTATTTCACCTTTCGGAGGATGCTCAGACTAGGGCAGGGAGCCATCTCCAGCACTGGCACGGGCCAGGCTTGGCAGTGACAGCAGGGACAGTTCAGGGCCAAGCACAGCTGCCTGGTGATAGTCGCACTGTCCTTGGCCAGGAGACTGACACTGCTCGGCTTGATGCAAAGTCGTGCAAAGACATTTCCTCCTGGAGTGCAGCTGCCTGAGGAGTTTGTGTGGGTCAGGATAGTGCAGTGCCACAAAAAAGGAGAATCTAGTGAGTAGCCCACTGGCCGTAGCCCACTAATGTTTTTCTCTTGTTGCCTGCCACAGACTTTGCTGGAGAGAGGCCAAACTGAGGAAACCCAAGGAAGTTCCATTTCTTAGGGATTTGTGTCCCTGGAGAGCGCCCTTGTGGCAGATGGCTGGTAATGGGTGAAGCTGAGATGCAGCCCTCCTCAAGTCTCACTGGTAGACTTACTCTTTTCTGTTCAGTAGTCTGTTTTAAATTAAATTAAGCCCCGTTTTGGAAAAAAACCTTGAAGTTGGGTGACAAATTCAGAAGTTAATAGGTGCGTAACTGATTGGTAGGTTGGCACTTGTGCAGGGAGATTGCTTCACATTCTAAGGAAAGTGGGCTAAAATTTATCAATCAAAAAAGTAATCAGTGCTCTGGCCTTGGAAGCTTCTCAGTCTGATCTGCTCCAGGTCTTGAACTGTACGTCAGTAAGGGGTTGTATTGTCCCAGTGAGCTTCCAGATATTCTTGCTTTTTTCAGACCGTAGTTACGGAAAACCAGCCCAAACCAGATTGCCATGGATTTGTGTGACTGAAGAAAATGCTGCAGGTTATCAGCATGGCTGGTCATAATTGTTTATTTACTGTGGCTTGAATTCTTTATGTGCAGTGGGCACGACCTCAGTAAAGTAAAAAAGTAAAATGGTCTTTTCAAGGTAGAGTACATGTAGGCTTACATTCTTCTTTTTAAGAGAATGAAAGAGTAATATAAACCTGAGAATTTGTCTCAGACTTGTACTTTGCAATTATTTCAATAATTACTATTATCAGGTTGTTTGAGGAAAAATTCTGATTTGGACAACAGTCTCTCCCGTTTGAGATGTTTGCTCTTAACTAAATAATTCTATTTAATGATAGAAAGCATAAATATTTCATAATATTTATATAACTTTGAAGGGGAATTTTCTTAAATCCATCAGTATTCTACACAGTAAGATTATGTTTTCTGTTAGTTGTTACTTTTAGTAACTGTGTTATGCACAAAAAAGAACAGCTGAACATCCTTAGGGAAATTCTCCAGTCATAGCTGGCATAGGTGCAGTGTTCTTGGGGCAGCCACAAAAGTAGCTGTCTCTCCAGCCTAGAAAGAGCAGATCTACAATTTAAATAACAGTCACATTTTTATATTCATCTCATTTTTTGTTACCAATACCAAGGATACGAATTAATACCTGTCATGATGGTGTGTACTTGTTTTTTTTTGGATAGAGGACTGTGACAAGGGTTTTCTTACAAGTAATTAACTCTTTTTTTGTAGCTCCTGTCATCAACACATTAATGGCAGCTTTTTGCTCCAGCTGGTAGTACCTGATCATCAGCTGAACAGAACAGCTTATCTTCCCCTCACACAGGAAAGTTGTTGCATTCAGTTGAGTACTCAGCCAAGCATTTGAAACTGGAGTTATGTATTTTGATTGTCTGTAGCTGCTGAAAATCAAACCAAGAGTCTGATTTAAAAGACAATTGAGCAGCTAATTACTACTTTTGTTTGAAACAAAAAGTATCAGGAATAGTGCTGTATATAGAACAGAGAATGCAAGACAAATAATTTCTGTGTGTTTTCTCTTTTCCTTTTTTTTCTTTTCTGAGGATGCTTCTCTGTATTATCAATGAGTTGAATAGCAGGAAAACTGAAATGTGCTTTCCCCTCCTCTCCTCTCATTCCCTCACTCCTGGGACTCTCTCCAGCTTTGGTCTAGCCACTCACTGAGCTGCACCTCCACACTCACTTTTCTTTTATTTCATTTAGGGGCTTGGTTAACTGTTAGTTATATATATTTATATGTAGTGAGAAAGCTGACCTGGAGTAGCACTGCATGAATTCTAGGGGCAGCACAGGGCAAGGGACTATTTTTTATGTATGTATATATATATATATATATATATATAATATATATAACTACACATGCCCAGGGGTGAAGTTTGAAAGAGGATAGGACTTCCTCCTTAGATTGATGGTGTACTGCTCATTTAGCTCAGGCTGTAATGGAAAAGCACAGCACCCACAGGGTTTCTTTGATGAGGCAGGAAGAAGAAGAATGAAACACTTACCTGTCAGACATTGTACATGTACCACTCAGTTTAGATGCATAAAGAGGATACGAAAACAAGAGTGTTTTTTTTCTGTGATACCCCATCTGGATGTGGCTTGCAGGTGGCTCACAGACAGGTCCTGGGCCAGAGCTCTGCCATGGGAATAGGAGTTGTGCTCTACCTCATGTGATTTTGTCACAGAGCAATGGGGCATGCCTGAAATAGAGTGGTCACTCAAACCTGTCCACCTGTGTGGGACAGTGAGATACTGTGACCTCTCTGGAGAGGACTCTTTAGGTCTTTCTTGCCCCTTAATTGGTTATATTGCTTAAATGGGTTATATTCCATGTCATGTGCTTCATAACCATTAGAAAATTAGCGTCATGGTTCTTGTATGACCCAGGACACTTATATATGCAATAGAAATACCAGTTTCACCATCACTTTAGCTGTCTTAACTTCTTACCTCTTTTATCCCTACATGTTCAAATGTCTTATCTCACACAGATCTGTCTCTGTTTTTCTTGGTGACCTGATTAATGAGTGAGCACTTACTCTGAACTGTACCTTTAGAAGAAATTCCAACTAAACAGAAAGCAATCTTCATATTTTCTAGGTTTCCTGGTAGGATGTCGCTAAAAATACAAGTTGTTCCTTTGAGTTATTGTTGGGTTTCTATATCCAATGGGATTCAAATTTCTGTCATAGCATCCTTTACTTGCCTGATTTCCATGAAGTTTCTATGCTTGAGTGTGATTTTATTTTTTTTCACTAAGAAGTGTCTTTAAGTTTTTTAAGCTTAGTGATGAAAGCTCTTCAATGGATAATCTTTTTTATAACTATCCCCTGCTTCTGATGCATAACTGTGGTCAGCTTTTTTTTTATGAAGAAAACATGTATTTTCACAAAGAGAAGATTCAGCTTCAGGTTATTTTTGGATGCCACGTCAGGAGAACTAGAATAGTTTGTCATTCTTCTTAGATTTTCTTTGTTACATTTATTCACTTTCCTCAAAACCAGAATAGCTTCCATGTAATTAGATTTAAAGAAATCTTGAGAAATAAAAAAATCTGCTTTGATTATCCTTTCCTTACATATTGCCCACCGTGGTAGTGAAAGGAGGTATCTTGACTTACAAGCATTAGGGGGCTTTCTAAATTTCTCTTTTGTCCTGGGAGACCAACAAGACGTGTTAAAACATTTTGAGTAGTCATTTTTCAAGCATGAAGGAATGAAGATAAATATTGCTCTGAGTTTACGAGTATGTTCAAATTAGCCTCCTGAGCATATGTACTTCAGATTTAGAATAACATATCAGAGAAGAGAATTTGGCCCTCAAAATATTTAAACTTTGAGGCTGCACTTATGAGTTCAGTTTTATGCCAAAATTTCCTACACATCAGCAGCAGAAAACTGTAAGTTGTCCTATGACGCAGTGCTAGTTTAACTATTCATAATGAATTAGATTTGAAAGATATGTTTGAGGTTTATTTTAGTTTATGGTTAAATCAAACCCGTCCTGTGTAAGGAAGAAGAAAAGTTTTGTTATTTTTCCTCACTTAAAAAATCTCCTGTAAGTGTAGTGATAATTACAGCTGGGAGCCCCTAATTCTTCAAGACCTGCTGTGCCTAATACTAAACTACTTCAGTGAATGTAATTACAGATCTGGAGTAAAGAAAGGAGACCACTGAGGAATGTAAACTTTGTCTCTGAGAAATTAAAATGCATGGTATGACATAACACAGAGTTCTTTGTAATACTTAAGCCTCATCCAATTATTATTCCTGTTAATAAGATATATTTTTTTTTCCCCCTGTATTCTGTCAGTAAGAATTGCTGAGCATTCAGCTGATTTAGAGGAAGAGAGTTAACAAAAATTACATTCTCCAAAATCAAATTTATCAAAAACACATTATCTTAGAAATTAGCAAAATAGTGGATGAAATTGATTTAAAAGAATAATAACA